AGTCAGATCCAACCCCTCCTTGGGTTTCCGAGGCAGTATCACTATGGAAGTAGATTGCCCAACCTTCCTTCCAAGGAGTGGCTGGTGAGTTTGAACCGCCAGCCTTCTGGTTAGCAGTCAAATGCCTTAGGCACTATGCCACCAGAGCTCCCAGCTGAAGATTAAAGGCTAGATAACTCCCTCTGTGCTAAGAAGGGGATGTACTAGAGGATGGAATCTTGGAGAAAGAAGACTTCACACCAACAGGCTTCTATCTATAAGGCTTCCTCTCTCCTGGCCCATTATATGGATTCAACCATGGCCTTGCTCCCAGAGAATTCTGTCTGCAACACTACCTTTTGAGTGAGATATTCTTTCCATCTTAGGATACTCTGATGACATTTCATGCAAATTCAGTTACCAAAATTTTGCAACAATTAACTGTTTATTTTTTTGGTTGATAAGCTTTGAAAGGTCTACTCCTTTTCCTGGTGTAGTGTGTTGAATTGTGTCCTCCAAGAAGTTATATTCAGATCCTAGCTCCTGGTACCCGTGAATGTGACCTTATTTGTAAATAGGGTCTTTGTAGATGTAGTCAATTTAAGATGAGGTCAAACTAGATTAGGGTGAATCCTAAACCCAATGACTGGTGCTTTTATAAGAGAAAGGAGAAGGAGATTTCGACACAGATATACAGAGGAGAAGTCCATGTGAAGACGGAGGCAGAGACTAGCGTTACACTGTCACAAGCCTGGGGCCACCAGGACCTGGAAGAGGTGAGGAAAAGATTCTCCCCTGACTCCTTTGCAGAGAACACGGCCCCGCCAACCGCTTCATTTCAGACTTCTAGTCTCTAAAACTGTGAGAGAGGAAATTTCTGTTGTTTGAAGGTGCCATGTTTGTGGTAATTTATTATGGCAGCCTTGTTGTTGTTGTTGTTATGTGCCATTGAGTCCTACCCAACTCATAGTGACCCCTCCTTGGGTTTCTGAGGTGGTGTCACTACGGAAGTAGATTGCCCCATCTTCCTTCCAAG